CTCTTCCAGATTCACCTGTTCTGTTTCTGGTCTATCTCTTATGGAGTTTAGGAATTTACAGATAAAGTCTCTCACTTCCTCTCCCTTCACGGACTCCGGGATACCTTTTACCCTAAAGTTCTTCCTTCTCTCCCTGTTTTCCTGTACTTCCATCCTATACAGCAGTCTTTTTTGCTCTTTCTTAATATCTTTTGTCCTTTTTTCTAAACCAGAGATAGATTGGGCGTGATTTTTAATTCTTTCCTCTGTCTCCTCCATCCGCAATAGCAACTGCCCTAAATCACTCTGTATGATTGTCAGTTCTTGTTTTATTGTTTTTTCTAGACTTTTGAACATATCTGCCATCTTTTTCTTATTTGGTACTTGTAGTTCACTTTCAGATATTTCCTCTCCACATTCTCTGATATTTGTTGGCTATTATGCTTTATTCCCAGGGAGAGTCTCGGGCTAGCTTCCAAGCTCGTTTCCAGCTCACTTTTATCACCGATATCTTGAGATCTTTCTGGCGTCACATTACCTTGAGACGTATATTTTTTTATCGTGCCTACTTGGGACCCCTTTAGCCCACTACTTTTAACGTTTTTATTCTTCATCTCTTCTGTGGGTTTTATTCAGTTAAATACAGGAACCACCTTGGTTTAACAGCTACAGACCAGGTATCTAGATTTCAACACGTACTTATTTTCCACTTTCCCACTATGCTCTCCTTCTTCTTCCAGGGCTGCTAGTTCCTCTTATACTCAATCTTCCCCAGGGAGTCTACCCCTCTTTAAACATACAGTAACCATATAATCACAGTTTGCTAGGTCGTGCTGCTCACACTCACCCTCTGGTTGCTTTTCTTCTGGTGAGGCAGCCACGAGCCACCAGCTGCTAGCTTCAGCTTCCCACTGCTCTCTTCAGGGGGACTCCTCTGGGTCTTCTTCCTCAGACCCTACTCCCCTGTGTATAAACTTAACACACACGGGGAGCAGGTCATCCATTAAACAAGTGGCTTCTCCTGTATGTTGCAAGGGGGGAGCGAGGGGGGAGCGAGCTGGCGTCCTCACTCTCACTTCAGATGCCGGCTGGCTTTCTCCCCTTCCCAGTAGTGCTCTGCGGTTTCCCACGTGTCTGCTCCGTGACTCCCCGCTCTTCCAGCAGCCCCGCACGTCAGTCCGGACCTCCTGCAGCAAGCCCCGCCGCCCAGCACACCTTCCTCTCTCCACTCCCGGGCCGCCGGACCCGCTCTGAGCTGTCGCTCGTGCGTAAGTCCCTGGGTCACTCTTGTGCAGGCATCTGGGATGGTGTAGGTGATTCGGAGAGCACCCGCTCCGTGCTCTCCTACGCCGCCATGACAAGGCTCCTCCCCTCCATCCCCCATCGCTTCTCAGTTCTTTTAACCACATGACTGTTGAAACCCATGTCCGAATGCATATGGGCATTTTAGACTCTGTTATTCCCACCTTATTCAGATACAAAAAAGTAGGGAAAGCCCCCAAAAAAGCAGATACCAAATGTCACCCAAATAATATGACTACTATCAAAATTCTTTATTAGCGATGTTACACAATTATAGATATATGGAAAAAACATCACATCAGTATGGTATTATATATAGATAAAAATTTACATTAAAAATTGGCAACGTTGTCAGTGGATAAAAACACAGAGTCTGGACTCCGACATAACAGCTATAAATAAATTAGTCACCAAAACGTTTTAAGCACAATGGATTACTCTCCTGCTCAAAAAAAGCATTAATGATTAGAAGGCAAAGTAGATGTGCATCAATGGGGAGTTAACCAGAGCAAAAGAATCCAATGGTGACCACTCATATTGCAGTTGAACAAACATCGATTCACAGCATCAGAAAATAGAAGCAAAGTAAAGCATACCAAAGTGCAAGCAGTAATAGTATTACTGTTAAGTTAATCTGGTAAGCAAACAAGGGGCATTGAAGGTGGCTACAGGCTGAGCAAAAGATAAGTAGTAGGTCAGAAAAATCAGTCAGTTACAGATTAATACAGCTGTAGCTCCATAGGAGTAATTTCATTCACTTACATGAGGTTACCCGAGTCCAGCCAAAATATGGCAATTCACTGCTTGTGAGTCCTGACAGATCACAGGAATAGTTACCACAAAAAATGGAACAAATTATATTATGTCACTCATTCCTACTGCTGTTCTCTCTGTCATTGCAACCTAGCTTGGCATTATGGCAAGCAGTGCATCTACGTTCCCTGTATGGTCTGGGACCTCAGGCTGAATTCTCCAAGTATTACAACTATTACAGGTTTCCCCACTAGCTGTCTGAGTTAGGAGGCAGCATAGACGGGAACTGCAATTGTGGGTTATTATGAAAGCAGCAGGTGATTTACTGCTGTTTTAAGGCTTTTATTAGGTTTGGTTGGGTATGCAGTGCAACTCTGGCTGTCACCCGGGAATTAAAGTATACTTATGGGTTGATAAATCTATGTTGCAATGATGACCCCAGGACACATTGTCCCTTTTAAACTATTCATTAGCCTGCCTAATTTATTCTTTTCTTGTTTTTCTTTTTTTGTGTAACCATTTTTATCATATAGAAAGTCAAATACGCTAACAATGGTCTGTTGTAACACAAAGCTATGGCAATATGATAAGGTTTTGCTAGTTATTTTTCTTATGTTTAGAGCACATAATTGTTCATTGCTGTACCTGGATGACTGTTCAATGCCATTTACTTTATTCTACCTTTTGTGTGTGTAATATTTTAGGCAGAACAGTACACAGTCTAGTCAGTAATTTACAAAAGGAAAACTTATAAATGACACGAAAGTTTAACAATCAGACCACAAATAACTTATTTAAATAAGATGTATTGTCATTTGCTTAAAATCACTGGCATACTGTATATGTAATTTTTTTTTTTTCAGATAAACCTTTTGTAGACTTATTTGTGTGGAAGAGAGTTCATCCACACCTAGGGTAGACTTTGTGTTCAGGGTTTTTTTTTTGTATTTATAGTCAAATCAAAAGACTAAACGTAATCATCCTTGGTTGGAGTGAGGGGTTCTTGAGAGTGGTGGGGTGCTACGGAGGAAACGCTTCTGGCTGCCAACTGGCTCCCATAGGCGATCCAATTGCTTGGAAGGAGGCTGGGAGCCTGAGGCCCGCACCTGGCTGTTGGAGGCTTCCCAAGGGGAAGGGGGGGGGGGGAAGGACATCAGGTGAAGTGCCTCAGAAAGTCGCCTGGGCCTTCTTCAGGTTATGAATGACATGGCTCTGGCCTTGATAAGCAAAGGTAAGGTGGAACGGGAAGTCCCCAGGTGTACTTTATGTGGTGATTCATCAGGACCAAGGTAAACGGCTTTCTGCATGGTAGAGGGAGCAAGATCGACAAAGAGCTGGTATTTGTGCCCTTGTAAGGACAGATCAGGCTTGTCACGTGCCGCTTTAAAGAGAGTTTCCTTTGGTAGCGGAGGCCTGCTTCATTGCTGTTCTGCACCCATCTGGACAACCGGAGTTGTAGGAGGTGGTGTGCCTGCACAAAGGCATCACCGCATGGCCATCTTGGTTCGCTGCTCACGAGCGCCCCATTAAGTGTTTTAAGCAAAACCACCTGCTATCAAGAAAAGGCTGGAAAGCCTTGTGTGAGTTTCCCGAGGGATATTTGTGATGTCCTATGACCGGGGTCATGAGTGAAGCCGATAGATCACTCAAACTGTAACTCTTGACTAAGAATAAAAGTTTGATAGTGCTACCCATCAATGAATGGCAGTAAACAGGTCTTGGAACCTCCTCTCTAAGCCAAGGTAGGCACTTGCATGGCAACTCAGATGTTGTTTACTCTAGCTGAACCCATTGCTTATTATGGCCATGTGTACGCCATTCTTTGACTCTAGCCATGTAAACAGCCTTGTGGCATTTCAGGGGTTCAGGGAATTCCAACCCTCCCATTTCCCTAGGTTGTGTCAGGAAGGCATCACTGAGATTTCTGTACCCAAAGAAAATTACAAAACTCACTGAGTCTGTTTGAGGAATATCTTCAGTACTAAGTCAGGCAATGTTTGGAGAAGTTAAAGGAGTGTGGGAAGAATGTTCATTTGGATACTGATCCTCCCGAATCAAGAGAGTGAACCAGATGACCATCTCCAGAGGTCTTGTTTCATTTTAGATAAGAGCGTGGAAAGTTTGCAGCAAAGATTTCCTTAATGGAACACGTAGGTAAATTCCTAGATAGGTGATATGGTGTTGGGCCCAACAGAAGAGGAAATGCGATATGATGTTTTTTGGGTTCTTCGTGGGACTTTAAAATAAACCCCTAAAGTAAGCTATAAATATTAAAGTTGGAGAGTTCAACATCATTTCTAGGCTCAGCAAGAAGGTTGGGAAAAGTGGTAACCAAGGTAAGTGACAAAAAATAGTAAGTCTGGTGTATCCTGCTACTTTGTGCTCATTAGATGGAAATGACATGAAAGTAATGTTAGGGTTAGCTCTAACATAGCACAATAACAGTTTCAAAATAACAATAAAAATAAGCAGGTAGAGGGCCCCTCTGTCTTGTCCTGTTTTGCAGATCAATTCTGTTCAAATAGACATCATTCAGTTTCACTGTCGCAGAGGGATGAGAATATAATTCCTATAACCAGTTTCCTAGTTTCCCTCCAACCTTTAAGTATTGCAACACAGTCTTCCTAAAAATTCAATCTACTTGATTAAACACTTTTTTAGTGTCGGTCAAAAGGAGGATGGTAAGGGCCATATGGATAATGTTGAGATCCCTAGTCGTGTTATCTTATGCTTACCTATTCGAGCCAAAACCTATGTGGTTATTTTGTATTATCCTTTGAACTATCAGAAGCAATCTTTTTGCCAAACTTTTAGTAAAATGTTTTAGGTTTACTTTTTTTTGGAAATAATGCCGAGTATTGGGGAGTAGGTAAGTGGCCATTATAAATTCAGTTGGGTTACAGTATTTTTTTGACACATACTGTAGCTCCTCTTTTCATTTTTACTAATGTTGCTTCCTCTTCTAGGCGACCTATGCAGTCAGCAATGATAAAGGATGGTCTCATCGACTGGCTTGTACAGGAGCTGGAAGACACTGATCATCTGTCTGACTACACAGTGACTTACTCTATGGCCTTGCTTATGAACCTCTGCTTACGTAGTGCGGGTGTGTGTGTTTATATAGTACAGCTGTACAATAACTATGTTACATGAAGATTATTTATGGAAATAAATATCTTTGTTTCTGTAATTTATTAGTGAATCTGCAAATATTACTTATGATTTTTTTTTTTTTTTCCAATAATGTTTGTCACAAACAGGAAAGAATGCGTGTGCCAAAAATGCAAGCCATGTTCTCAGAGTGCTGTCTGACTTGCTTGGTCATGAAAACCATGAGGTACTTGTCTCAAAAAAGTATGTATGTATATTTGTGTATATGTATATAATACATATAGCATATCCTGTTAGGGAACACAAAAATGTAGATTATTCTAGGGAATAATCAATTAGATTTCCATCCAATGCTCATAACTCACAAGATCTAGGACACAGTGGATGCATGGTTTCACCAGACGGGAGAGTAAAGAAAAATCTGCAACAGGGACACAGGCAGGAATAAAAATCTAATGGGTTCTAGCTCTATTCCGCAAAAAGCCTTTTTATTTGTCTGTGCTGCTTCTAGAGAGACCCTTTCACTTTCTGTCTGATCAAATTTGTCAGCGGGACAGAGAGTGAGGGGAAATCTGTCTAGTGGAGTCCTGGATAGCACTAAAACCCAACAAGGCTTTTAATCCTTCTCCAATATATCCAAAACTAAAGCAAAACACTTGACACACACTTTAAAGAGACGCTGTCACTACCTCATGGATATTCGTACTTAGCCACTTGCCTACAGGGCACTTATACCCCCTTCCTGCCCAGGCCAGTTTTCAGCTTTTAGTGCTGTCGCAGTTTGAATGACAATTGCGCGGTCATGCAGCACTGTACCCATATGAAATTTTTATCATTTTTTTGAGAGAGAGCTTTCTTTTGGTGGTATTTAATCACCTCTGGGTTTTTTATTTTTTTGCTAAACAAACCAAAAACAACTGAAAATGTTGAAAAAAAAAAACATTTTTTCTTAGTTTTTGTTATAAAATTTTGTAAATAAGTGATTTTTGTCCTTCACTGATGTGCGCTAATGAGGCTGCAGTGATGGGCACTGATAGGCTGGACTGATGGGCACTGATAGGTGGCACTGATAGGATGGCACTGATGAGGAGACACTAGTAGGTGGCACTGATGAGCATTGACAGGCATCACTGATGGGCACTGAAAGGCAGCACCCATATATGGCACTGATAGGCGAAACTGACTGGCACTGTTAGGCGGCGCTGATAGGTAGCACTGATGCGCACTGATAGGCAACACTGACTGGCACTGATAGGTGGCACTGATTAGCAACACTGATAGGTGGCACTGACTGGCATTGATAGGTGACACTGAAAGGCAGCTCAGATGGGTACTGATAGGTGGCATTGATGAGGCACTGATGGGCACTGGCAGGTGGCATTGATGGGCACTGACTGGTGGCACTGCTGGGGCTACACTGATCATCAGTGCACTGATGATGAGTGTAGATGTCCCCTCCGAGGAATGGTGATTACCGGCTCTCCTCTCTTCTCGAGCTGTCAGCGTGACAACTCGTGAGGAGAAAAATGCCGGTAAACGGCATTTCCCTATTTTACATTCAATCAGCTGTGATTGGACACAGTTGATGACATGACCAAGCCAACATCTTGATCGGTGATCCACTGTGTCCGAGGGACACTGCGCACCACCAATCGCCACGCTCCGTGTTTAGAGTGGGAGGACGTCATATGACCAAATGACGTCATATGACGTCCTCCCAGAACGAGAGAACCACCTTGCGCCGTCATAACCTTATATGGTGGGTGGGAGGCGGTTAAAGTGGTTGTAAACCTCAGACATGAAATATGAACAAAGCATATCCATCTATAGTGTGTACTTGTTTAATTGTGGAGCACTAAGCATCATTTCTGTCTGCTGCCTTGTTCCTCTGCTAGCAGCATGAAGGGGGGAAACTCCAGCAGATGGACAGCCTCAGCTCTGTTCCTTTGTGCAGTGTGGAAGGATGTGTCCATTCCTTTAAATTCTCCTCACTGAGCTCTGCAGTGTGTAACTTTACCTGTCCGTCTCCTTTTTTCTGAACTCTCAAACAAGCTTTATATATAAGTGCTCTTTGAACCGATGTAGAGAAGAGAAGACTGCAGGTAAACAGATACAACAATTAATGGGGATATGGTTAGAGATGGGAACCTAAGAGGTCTCGAGATCCTTGCTAGAAGGATTTACTGGTACCACACACCCCTTATTTGTAAGACACTGCAAATGAAACCCTAACTAAAAAAGTTAATGGGGTTTTAAAAGTACCACACCTTACAATGAAAAAATCAAAAATTGGTGTAACAATAACCACTTCTTTAATAAAAAGCAGCCACCAGAATGGTGGAATGTAACATATAGACCTACTACTTTTAAAAAAAGCATACCATGCTTGAAATAAAATTGACAGAAAATACTACAGAAAATGGCCTAATGACACATACAGCAAATTGACATATCCTTGTACAAATTGATCCTTTGTTGATTACTCCGACTCGTTTCATAGGAGACACAGCCCGCTTCCTCAGGGAGACAAGGTATCCATTTCTAAAATTAAACAAAAGTATGCCCAAAACATACCATAAGTGCATAACACATTACAATGATATTACATAGATATGACATGAACATTATTAGCATTTACTGGTTGGTGATATTAGTGACTTCGTATAAGGCCAATGGAAAAAACACGAGCATCTGATTCAGACATTGATGGAGGAGACCCCTCAACCAAAGATATCAGTATCCGCCAGTCAGGTAAAATCATCGAACCGTAATGAGAAGCTGAAACATCCTCAAAAAATCACTGAACTGAGCCTCAGGGCATTCCAAACTACACCCCTACTCCCCAAACTAGTTCTACATCCAAGCCCTAAAGAAGGGGGGACAACATTAAAAAACTGGGGAACAGATGGGCCCCTCTCTGGCCCTGCCGTTACTCATGCTGCTGGCTCTAAGGCTTCCCCAGCCGCTACCAGGAGGATGAGTTACATCAGGACATGGGAGGGGGCACAGAGGCAATTTTTAGGTCAGATCTTCTAGCTGCTATATCATGTCTATGACTAGCATTAAATTGAATCTTCTTTGGAAAACTGTTTCCTTTATTATCTAGTTCACTTTTTGGCCAGTACTGTGTAAGAAAGGAATTGTATCAGCTTGCCTATACAACAGTACATCTTTCTGTCAGTCTCATATATACAGTTGTGCTCAAAAGTTTACATACCCTGGCAGAAATTGTGAAATTTTGGCATTGATATTGAAAATATGACTGATCATGCCATAAAATGCTTTTATTGAAGGATGATGATCATATGAAGCCATTTATTAAATAGTTGTTTGGCTCCTTTTTTTAAATCATAATGATAACAGAAATCCCCGAAATGGCCATGATCAAAAGTTTACATACCCTGGAATGTTTGGCCTTGGTACAGACACACAAGGTGACACACACGGGTTAAAATGCCAATTAGAGGTTAATGTCCCACATCTGTGGATTTTTAAATTGCTATTAGTGTCAGTGTATAAATAGTCAATGAGTTTGTTAGCTCTTACGTGGAAGCACTGACTAGGCTAGATACTGAGTCATGGGGATCCGAATGAGCTGTCAAAAGTCCTGCGTAACAAGGTAATGGAGCTTTATAAAGATGGAAAAGGACATAAAAAGATGTCCAAAGCCTTGAATATGCCAATCAGTACTGTTAAATCACCTATTAGGAAGTGGAAAGTTCGCGGATCTCTTGATACCAAGCCAAGGTCAGGTAGACCAAGAAAGATTGCAGCCATAACTGCCAGAAGAATTGTTTGGGATACAAAGGGAAACCCATAGGTAACCACAAGAAAAATACAGGCTGTTCTGGAAAAAGACAGTGTGGTGGTTTTGAAGGAGCAAAATATGATGACACTTGAACAAAAATTATCTGCATGGTCAAGGTGCCAGAAAGAAGCCTTTACTGCATCAATGACACAAAAAGGCCTGGTTAGGCATGTCAAGGTGTTGTCAGGCATATTGTAACTGGGCTTTTTTGTGGCATTGGTGCAGTAAAAGCTTCTTTCTGGCACCTCGACCAAACAGCTAATTTTTGTTCAAGTATCACCATATTGTACTCCTTAAAAACAACCACACCATCTTTTTCCAGAGCAGCCTGTTTTTCTTTGGAGGTTGCCTGTGGGTTTTTCTTTGAATCCCGAACAATTCTTCTGTCAATTATAGCTGCAATCTTTCTTGGTCTACCTGACCTTAGCTTGGTATCAAGAGATCCCTGAACTTTCCACTTCTTAATAGGTGATTTAACAGTACTGATTGGCATATTCAAGGCTTTGTATATCTTTAAATGTCCTTTTCCATCTTTATAAAGTTCCATTACCTGGTTACGCAGGACTTTTGACAGCTCTTTTCTAATCCCCATGGCTCAGTATCTAGCTTAGTCAGTGCTTCCTTGTAAGAGCCAATAAACTCATTGGCTATTTTTATACACAGACATTAATTGCAATTTAAAAAGCCACAGATATGGAACATTAACCTCTAACTGGCATTTTAACCCATGTGTGTCACCTTGTGTGTCTGTACCAAGGCCAAACATTCCAGGGTATGTAAACTTTTGATCATGGCCATTTGGGGATTTCTGTTATCATTATGATTTAAAAAGGAGCCAAACAACTATTTGATAATAAATGGCTTCATATGACCATCATCCTTCAATAAAAGAGCATTTTATGGCATGATCAGTCATATTTTCAATATCAATGCCAACATTTCACAATTTCTGCCAGGGTATGTAAACTTTTGAGCACAACTGTATGTCCTAGTAAAGATTTTACAGGTTGTAAACTTGCACAATTTCTGCTACCATCCTACAGATTCGTCCCTATGTAAATGGAGCTCTCTATAGTGTCCTTGCTGTTAACTCGATACGAGAGGAAGCAAGAGCGATGGTAAGATTCCAATAGAAAAGGCTATGTTTGTTGTGCCCAAATGCCCTTAATTTTTTAACATTGTATGTTGCATTGGTAAATTATATAACCGTGTTTGAGTGGGGTTACACAAACCTGTGTGCATACTCACAAAGCTAATAAAGCATTTGTTTTGTGTAGAGTAAATTATACCTGGTTACTCCTTCCTTTAGCTGTCCCTCCCATCTTCTCTCTGTCCTCATTGAAGTCTGAGATTGTGCAGACCAGCTGGTGTCCTCTACTGAGCTTGTTCATATTTCAGTTCTCTTATAAGCTCTTTATTTCCTCCTGTTTCTTATCTGTGCAGCCCACGTGACTGTATAGTCACACATGTGAGCATATACACAGTTCTTCCTCCATGTCCTCCTATTGCTAAACTCTTTGGGGGGCAGGATATAGTATACTGATTGATTGAATTCATTAAGAAACTCACAGAAATCTTAGTTTAAATATAAAGCAGTAATAAATATGTCAAATGTAATTGCTATTACCTGTAAAGTAAAAAAGAGCCTTGGATATAGATGCCATCTGAACAAAATGTGAGCTAGTGTCAGTCGTGTTTGACTCCACCTACACCATATTAATGCACAAAAAATACACATTGATGTTCAATAAAGATTTATAAGAGGCTGTAAAGCAGTTTATTTATAATTCAATTTTAATTGCTCCTCTGAAACAGTTTTTTTTAGTCATGTGACTAATTAGGGCTGTAGAGAGCCTACATCAGTAATCTAAAAGTAATAGATAAGAGTAATAAAAGTCCCTTCCAAGGATCTTTTCCTGCAGATGCCAAATAACAGGGAAAGATCATGTGAGTGCTGCAGGAATACGGTACTTGGAGGATTTGAAAAAAACAAAAAAAACAAAATGCAGTGGTATGATATGCACTATATTGCCAAATGTATTGGGACCCCCCTCCAAATCATTGGATTCAGGTGTTCCAATCACCTCCATGGCCATAGGTGTATAAACTCAGGCACCTAGGTATGCAGACTGCTTCTACAAACATTTGTGAAAGAATGTGTTGCTCTCAGGAGCTCAGTGAATTCAAGCGTGGTGCCGTGATAGGTTGCCACCTGTGCAATAAGTCCATCCGTGAAATTTCCTTGCTACTAAATATTCCACGGTCAACTGTTAGTGGTATTATAACAAAGTGGAAGCAGCTGGGAACAACAGTATCTCAGCCATGAAGTGATAGGCCACATAAAATGATAGAGCGGGGTCAGCGCATGCTGGAGCGCACAGCTAAAGACCTCCAAACTTCATGTGGCCTTCAGATTAGCACAACAGTGCATAGAGAGCTTCATGTAATGGGTTTCTTTGGCCGAGCAGCTGCATCCAAGCCTTACATCACCGCCATTGGAGTCTAGAGCAGCAGTGACGTGTTCTCTGGAGTGACGAATAATGCTTCTCTGTCTGGCAATCCAAAGGACGTGTCTGTGTTTTTATAGTTGCCAGGAGAACGGTACTTGCCTTACTGCATTGTGCCAAGTGTAAAGTTTGGTGGAGGGGGGATTATGTTGTGGGGTTGTTTTTCAGGGGTTGGGCTTGGCCCCTTAGTTCTAGTGAAGGGAACTTTTAAAGCATCAGCATACCAAGACATTTTGGACAATTTCATGCTCCCAACTTTGTGGGAACAGTTTGGGGATGGCCCCTTCCTGTTCCAACATGAATGCGCACCAGTGCACAAAGCAAGGTCTGTAAAAACATGGATGAGCAAGTTAGGGGTGGAGGAACTTGACAGGCTCGCACAGAGTCCTGACCTCAACCCAATAGAACACCTTTGGGACGAATTAGAGCGGAAATTGTGAGCCAGGCCTTCTTGTCCGACATCGGTGCCTGACCTCACAAATGTGATTCTGGAAGAATGGTCAAACATTCCCATAGACATACTCCTAAACCTTGGGGACAGCCTTCTCAGAAGGGTTGAAGCTGTTATAGCTGCAAAGGTTGGGCCAACTCAATATTGAACCCTACAGACTAAGACTGGGATGCCATTATAGTTCATGTGTTTGTAAAGGCAGGTGTCCCAATACTTTTGGCAACAAAGTGTATTTATGTGAATGATTTATGGCAATTAACTCTTCTCTGTTTAGTATCACTTTAAGCGCAGACAAATTAAATAATACTCAAAGACATAGTTCCCCTTTATCAATACAGTGCTTGTAAATAAAAACAAACTGTGTAGCTTTCACCAAGGTTGGATAATACCCTTGCTATAGGTGTAGGCCATTTACAAACTTCCTGAGGCCTGACTTAAAAAGCCACCACAGGAGAGAGCTTACAAATATTGAGCAGTATATTTGTATAATGTTATTGCAGCTGGTAAAAAAAGATTTAGCGGTTTGCCTACGAATGCTTATTCCTGATTTACAGATTATTTTCTTTGAGATTCACCTAGCTGTACAAATGTTGCCTGCACTGGTGAATCATTTGCATGCCACCCTATCCTACATAAACACACTTAACTCCAAAACTCACTTTCTGGCTCTCTGTGGAATAGCTCTGTCTCTGGGCACACAGATTTCTTGGTAGTTTTTGAGCTTTCCATCTGATTTTAACCACAGTACTATCTCCACGTGATTTCATATATTTCCTTGTTTTTTTGCAACAGAAGTTTCAAAAATGTAATGTAATGTGAAGTGACTTACTGTAGATCATTGCATTGTGAGTCAGAGTCATTTTCAACTGATTCTATACCAGTTACAATTATTTGAATTTTTATTAAAAAAAAGGGAAAAGTTTAAAACTTTGGGTGGCAGATTGCTGCGGTTGAAATCTCCCATCTTCTAATAAATTTGCCAAGAATATGGTCTGAATAAATGATCATTAATTTCTTTTTTACCACAGAGATACAGTCAGGTCCATAAATATTGGGACATGGACACAATTCTAACATTTTTGGCTCTATACACCACCACAATGGATTTGAAATGAAACGAACAAGATGTGCTTTAACTGCAGACTGTCAGCTTTAATTTGAGGGTATTTACATCCAAATTAGGTGAACGGTGTAGGAATGACAACAGTTTGCATAGGTGCCTCCCACTTGTTAAGGGACCAAAAGTAATGGGACAGAATAATAATCATAAATCAAACTTTCACTTTTTAATACTTGGTTGCAAATCCTTTGCAGTCAATGACAGCCTGAAGTGTAATTGTTAATGTCATAAGCACATCTCCGACTCACTTATACAAGTGTGGATACATAAACCCAGGGGACAGCATACTAAACAATATGATAGTGTGACAAGAACACGCCTATCTGAAAAAGAAGGTTTCTAAAAGATCCACGCGGAGTAGTATGAATTCAAATGAATTTAACAATACTTTATTTGATCACATAGATCATGGGGAGGTTAAACATGAGCACGGTGTACATATGAAAAAAATAAAATCATGTTTAAAAACACTTAGCGTCTTCAATTTAGGGTCATCTTAGCCAACAGAGCACCATATAAGGCAGAGTGTGTAATGATGGAATAGTTATCCTGGATTTCCGTAGGTTTCCTGCTTAATATTTGTGTGAACCGTATATTCAGTGGGTGTGTTCCCAGTATATGTCAGGGACCTCCTGGAATGTACAAGCTGGAACACAAAAATACATGGTATGTATCTAGCAATATGGAAACCAAATCACATCCAAAATTTACCAGGCCTCCCTCCACAATAGTCAATGGATACTGCTGTTACCTTCTCAGAGGTGAGACTATCATACCCGCCTCTCAAATGTAGGGACTTCCTGGATAGCCACCCCAAATGGAACAAGGTCCACAGTACCAAATGATTCTGAGGATATATATAGAAAAAGATAATAAATGTGTAGAACATGGGCATCAGGTAACCCCGAAAACAAAACACACATAGAGATGTGGATATATTACCATCAATGAGGATCAAGAAGACTCCTGTCGACTTGAACTAAGATCAGGTCCTTGATGCTTTTCCAAAAATGCATATGGGGGTGAGGGACCAGGTATACACGATGCGTGGATTTCAAACACATATAGTGTGTATATAGCATATATAGCAGGCCGTAGATACCTGAATTTAATATACCCAGTAAAGGGTTTCCAAAAATTGCTCAATTTGAGAAGGTTATTTGCGGTTTTTATAAGGATGTGGCTATGTCACAGCAAAAAAATACCTGAATAGGATAGCGTATATATATATATATATATATATATATAGATTCTCCTCCTGAGAGGATTTCCAAAAAATTCCCCGAGTATACAGGGTAAATTAGGCCCATACAACATGCCCTATGAACACCATGTAGGCTCTGTAAATCTCAACAGCCGTAAGCTTTTAAATAACTTGCCACCGGTGGAAGATATATTTCCCTGAGGGATTGCCGTTTGCGAACCGCTGTGATAATAGCCCACTGGTAGTTCTCAAAAGGTCTTGGGCCTACCTAACAGGGAGCTGTGACACCGCCGTTCCTTCCCGCCTCGTGGGCGCCGCACCCTGTGAAGACGCCGAGCGTAGTGACGTCAATACGTTGACGCGTTTCGTCCGCCAATCACCGCAGACTTCGTCAGAACTGGGAGGGGACTTCAATCCTTTGCCTTATATGGTGCACTAATTGCATACCAAAAAGTCTCCACCTCGCCATCTTGTGTTGAAAGAATATCACTACATTGGGAATATCCAAAAGTGAATTAAAACATATATCTTGAATTTTAAAATGATTGCTGGATGTGGAAGAGGAGCCTAATTACTATGGATCAAATCATCTTCCAAAGAGAATGATAAACGGGAGATTATTATTAGCATATTTCACTTTCACATAGGGAAACATCAAAACCAAGTACAGCTACCAAGATTTCAAAAACAGTCCTATTGTTCTATATGCTCACCACCTAATAAGAGTAGAAAGAATCGAACAATTAGGTTCATATTTTGTCCACAGAGGCCCATATTTAGTGCATATATAAGGTATCGCAATGTAGATTATAACTCAGGGTATATAGAGAGTTCAA